GGATAATTAAGCTACTTGCTTTGGGCCCCACAACTTCTCTGTGGCATAGCTAGGCTAACTAAATAGTTGTCCCATCGTAGCGGATCATAACAGTAACTCCTCGTAAAACATTTAGCTCAGCTGCCTTAGGAGAGGAATAAAATCAGCCTTACGTAGGTAATTCCCAGGTGCCACACCTCTGCTACTTACATTTCTCTGTCAAAGAAATGGCTTTCATTTACTGCGCCTTATGGGTCAGTTGGGAACAGCACCAGCTACTTCTTTAAGCACTTTGAGATTTACAGATAAGACATACATACCAAGCATATCTTTAAGAGTTTCGGCTGTGAATTTTCACTTTGAGATTCTCCAGCCAAATGTAGGGTTTCGCTGAAACCAAAATGTTATATGGAAATGACCTCTTCAGTTCTAAATATTTGATATGGAATTGATTTGGGAAGTAGGCTGAAATGAAAATGGTGGTCTCCTATCAACATTTTCAACTTTTCCTACTGTCTTGATACAAAATGTCAATTACAATTTTCCTGAGTTTTGTTTTGCAAGTCGTTTTGTCTTTCTATCGCAAATCAGAACAGAAACTAATTTTCAAGTATCACGATTCATCTGAATTCCTTTTTCATGATAAGTTCAGCTTATTTCTTGTCCTATGGGATTGCTAACACAAAGAAAGCTTAAAAATAGGCTATTTACTGAAAAGGGATTGTAATGGCCACACGTCAGCTCCTGCCCCAATTATATGCCTCCATGTGTATTCAAGACCATGACAGTCAACTAATGTACTTTAATCCATGATCATTTCCCAGGGCAGCACACTGGAGGACAGGAGTTAGCTGGCTTTTAGGCTCGCAGTTTCATGTGAGTGCTCACTCCAAACCTTTCTGGGCCCTCTCAAACTCAGTGAACACTGATTTCCGACGTGTCCCCTTGACTCTTAGCAATTTTTAATACTTATAAAATATTCTGTATTCACGAAGATCTCTGTGGAAAGTAGTATGTGTTGCCCACATTCCCATAAATAAATAAAAAGCAGCAGTGATACCAGTCCTTCTAGTAAATATTATCCAATCCTGCAAAGATGAACCTATGAGGAGTAGAATTCATGGAAACATTTATATTTATTATATTATACAATGCATATTGCTTATCATAGATTATTATTTATTTATATTGTTTATAGTTATTTTATATATATTATAACGCTCTAGTTATGCCTGCATGTTTTCCACTACAGTCTATTATAAATTCAGCCTTATTAAATTTAGGTATTCAAAAATCATAATAAAAAACCCTTTGGATTATTATGACAGCTCCCAAGTAATTTAACTATAATTTTATAGAGGCAAAATTTGAGGGCATTGGCTTTTTGCCTGGAATTTCTGGATGTCGAGCTCCATAGCTGGAGCAGCTTGGTCCACACCTTTGGACACCAGGAAATCCCAGACAAAAGGCTGCTTACTGTACCAGCGCGGACCTGCGTCGTGGATGCATCAGACCTATCTTATAAATACGCTGCACATGCACAGCAAAATCAACACATTCTTGGTCAATGGGATCTACACATGTAAACTGGGGATCTACACATATAAACTGCTGCACCCGTGCAGTAAGGCTGACATATCCCAGGTGCTGTGAACTCACTGCACATGGATTTCGCTACTCCTGTACTCCTGTACCTGTTACAGGAATCGCATTCAGAAACTCAGCATCCCTATTTTTGGCAAACATATCCTCCAGATTTGATGATACTTTATTCTGGTTGTGAATATCATCTCCCAAGTTCATTTTAAAATCTGTGCAGCTTCACCTACTGGCACTGAAAATCCTGTTTTTCAGGGTGCTGTTCCATATTGCCAGTAACCTCCACTGCTCTGCGTTGTGGGACCAGTACCTCAGCTCTCTTGGCTGCTGTGCATCTCCTAAAGCATTTTGGTTTCCATTGATATATGTGCTTGGTTCATCATTAATTCGTAAGTGTTCAATGATCTCAGCAACTCTTTTTTTTGCGTGTGTAACCTTTCCTTTTAGTACATGGGTGTTTTTGTTTCTATAGTGCTTATCACCATAACAACCCTCCCCCCCAAAAAAAATTATCTTGAATGATCTGTTACTACACTGTCTTGATTTATGTATGTATTCAAGGCCCAAAAGTCCTTAGATGCAGGATGCAAAGGTCAGGTGAATACTTCTTAAGAATTCTACCTTGTCAAGGAATTGTCTAAGAAATGAGTCACTTGTTACATCAACTAAAAACACAAAATCCCAGTGGGCTGTGGCAGCTGTTTCCCATAACCATGAGATTTAATCATTAATCATCCCATTCAGGTCATTTAGCCTTCCCTAGCACCCAGTCATACACGTTTTTGATTGCTCATAACTCCCCCTGAGACGAGAGCCAAGTGTGCTCGGATTCTCCTGAACTGCTCTCTCCTCTCCAGGGTTGGGTTAGAAGGAGCTACCCTGCAGCCTGAAGCTTGCAAGAGGTGTTCAGGGGATTTTAGTGAGCACAGAATTAGGCTGCAGCTGAATACAGACTGGTAGGTAAACAAGAGTACAAATGTTCTTCATGTCAAAAAAATGGGCATTGTACAAACCCTCCAATTATCTTCAAAGCATTTAGGAAAATCTAAAAGGAACAAAAATATTTTCCCTAATTTTGTATTTAAAATTAAGAGTAATTAAAGGAGGGGAAAAAAAAACAAAAACCAAAAGAAACCCATGCAAGCCGCCAGAATCCAGGGTGGTAAGTGTGTTTTAAAACTAAGACATTTAAGGAAGAGGACAGCTAAAAAAATTGGGAGAATGGTGAACCTGTCTTTCCAGAAATCAGAAGCCGCAGGCTGGTTTAAGGCAGCAGCGGCCGACAGGAGGTTTGCTCTCTGTAAAAACACAGAGGGAAAAAGAGTTGTTCAGGATACAGAATGCCACTAGCACAGGGCTGTATGTGGGCCATGCATAATCTGAGGTTAGAAATGGGAAGGTTTCTAATCACGGGAGAAGTGCAGTCTTCCGCTGAAAATAGCAGGCAAGTACTTCATCTTTTTCTCCATATTTAAAGTTCTTGATCATTATATAAAGGTATTTGGCACAGTTTTGATAAAAAAAAGAACAGGCTTCCCACATCTGAGACCTCCTGTAGACCATAACGTTCTTAAAGTGTTTAGGGTTTCCCCTCAAGTTGTGATGCACTTAAGAGGTTTTGGCTTAGCAAAGAGTTTTCTGTGCCTGGCACTTTCGATGAAAGCGCACAGCCATGTTTCGCAGTGTATACCCAAGCTTATTTGACTAGAAAATGAAGTTGTTGCCTCCTGGACACGTGAGGTCTTTAACTTTGTGTTACTAACCTGACACTTCATGGACACTGATATTTACGTTAAGAGAAGTGAAGAACAGCTATTTGCTTGAGTTTATGAAATGAATCCGTGAACCACAAACACCACCAAATTTCTACAACCGTCAGTTAAAACAGTTTTAATTAAGCCACCATATTTGAAAGGAGTGCCACATACATTAATATCACTTGAGAGTAATTAATGACTATTTGCAATAGCTTTCTCCCGAACATCTTCATTGTGTAACATGCTGGTTATGCTTCCACCCCTCCCAGTATATTCAGAGCCAAGTTTACATCTGTGCTTTTTTGACAAGTTATGACAATGCTTAAAAAAAAACATACAAAAGACTTAAGTTATGCTAAACCCTATTACCATACCATCCTCCCTCTCACTAGGAAGGGTGTCCATTTTCTTAAGTCTTTTCTCCTTCTCAGCTTTAGCTGTGCAAGGATTTTTCCAGACTTGGGATTCTCTGCTGTGTTTTGAATTCACTAGAAAGTTAGGTACTAACATTACTCATGATACAGAGATGTCCACACAGCATTCCCCACCAGCCAGTATTGTCCAGTATTGTACAGAAAAGGGAAAAAAAAAAAAGACACATTTGTCACAGGATTCTCTTCTTCAGCAAGAATCATAAATACAGTTGATTGTATACACCACGACTGAGCTTGTAACACAGTTCTGAAGTCTGCAGATGTTTACACTCTGTAAAGTTATAAAATACAGGCCTGGAAGGGACCTTCAGAAGTCACCTGGCCTTTCCAAAACAGGACCACATGCAATATACAGAATTACCAAATTAAAACAGAAAGCTATACAATATATAATACAAGAAATATCAGGCATTGAAAAAGCTTAGTTCTAAATGACTTTAGCTTTACAGTGTGCTGGTTAATGCTTTATAAATTCTTTTTGTACATGCGCATGAATACATATACCCACACACTTACCCTCTCCTAAGTACTGGGTTCACGGTACTAAGGAGTAAGTCCCCAGCTGCTCGCTACACAGAGTAACATGCAGCATTTGCTTTCCACCCTACCTGTACCCCCCTCAAAAATCTGCCTCTGCTAGAGCTACTGCCCTCATAGTCAGAAGAGGAGCTCCGCAAATGAGCCTCTTCCTTCTTCTTCCCCAGCTGAAGAAAGCTCTGACAAAGATAATAGACCGTAATTAAATCTGCTGTACGCTGCTGCAGGTCCATGACTAATACAGACACGGCTCTGCCTCGCTGGAGTACTTATTTGGAATCGCTGGCTCCAGAAACACAAGCTAGGAGCTGGCCAGATTACTCCCCGAGACCGGTGTCTGTATGAAGTTTGCATACACCAATTGCTCACAGAACTGCTTTTCTTTTTCTACCTGTTATCCATAGTGACTCACAAAACACCCCCAAGCTTATTAAACTCTGGAGTACCTACAGTGTGCTTTAGAAACTTTCGGAGGTTTTCAACAGCTTATGCTAAGATTTCCCTCCCAAGCACGGCTGATAATTAAACCACTGCAGTTTTAAAAAGGTAGACACAAAGAACAGTGTATGTTTCTACTCAAAGGTATTTTCTGAATCAGCATCCCTCAAATACCATGTAAAAATGTACGTAGTTTAACATCTGAATGTTTAATATACATTGTCACAGAGAGACTCAATAAATTATATGTGGCTCCATCACAAGTCCTGCAGTGGCCGCAAAACCACCAGTGTTACATCAGCCACTGTTATACACACCAGCTCCATGCTTTAGAGGAGATCTCCATCCAACAGCACCAATTGATGGAAAATAAATTTTAATTTTATTTTCCCCTTAATTCAAATAGCTAATAGTCAACAATAGTCCAGTAACAGGAATGAGAAGAGATTCTTAGGCAGCAGGTGACTGCAATAGTCTCAGGGAAGTTCCTTCCTTGGGACTGACTTTGGTGGAAGAAAAAGCATTCTTTGGAAGGTTGGTTTTTTTCTAGTTCCATTTAAGGCAATTTTGTCAGAGGTGAAAACAAAATAACTTGCAGGTCCCTCTAAGGGGTTGTTTAAAATCTCTCCTCTTCCTTTCTACACTTGAAACACTACATCTTTATTCATAAGCAAACGTTTGAATAAAATAAGGATGACTCAATTAGTTGGGAGGGGAAGGAGCAAGTAAACCACCCAAACAGAATCGACATGAGAATAGGTAAATAATACTTTAGGTAAAAGCTATTTGCTTAAAGATGCCAATGTTTTTACTAATTTATTGCCAGGGCTAGTAAGAAATACTCTGGAAAAATAAGGTGGTTTATTCAGTCTCCTATAATTGCACCAAATTTACATCAGAGGTGCTCCTCTGTTGTTTTGACAGTTGATTGTACTTGGATTTAATCTTTCAATTTAAGTATGGTGCTCTCTCTGGGGAAGAGTAGTAATAGGTAGGCTTGATGTTTCCGAGGACTTCGTCTTCCCAGTTGGGGAGGCAGCAGAAGAAGAAAGCACAACCGATTACAACAACAGTGCTGGCCCAACCAAAGCCATAGGCCCAGCTGAACATATTATCTCCCATCAGTGGAATTTCTTCTGCGAATTTCACTGGGTAGATGACCAAACCTATGATCTGGAATGCAGCTAGAGAGAGAAAGAAAAGAAGGAAAAGTAGGAGTAAATGACAATTTACATTTCCCACTAAAAAAGGTACCTGGAGATAACTGAATATCCTTTTAACATATGTAGGGTTAGCTTCAGTCCTACAATCAAATCTGCATTCTTGCAGAGGTACGTGACTCCTGGCCAAGGCAGATCCCCACGCCTATCTAGCTGCAGCAGCTACAGCTGACATTGCCAGGTTGCTAAGGCACTCACCTGCATGCCACGACCAGCCCTGTCCTACAGCCAGGCACCGTGATCCCTGCGGAGCCAGTTACCTCCCGCTTGTACCATAGCCCCATCGCTCCTCCTCCCCTCGGGAAGGTGGGAAGCACCCGGGGCTCTCAGCTCCTAAGTCTTAGCATGTGACATGCAGGGTCAAAGGTGCTGGTTGCCCCCATACACTGCTTTTGGGAAAGTGCTAACTGACAAAGGCCACTGGAGTTTCCCTAACCATTATCCTCTCAGAGCGTAAATCAACCTTCCCTTGTTCCCCATGAAAATGAGTCATAGACCAGACAAAGACAGCTTATTTCATAAGGGAGGCTCCGTCTAGCATGTTTTTCTGCTGATGCCTGTTTTACATCTAAAATAACCTTGCCTTTGTGCCCAGCCTTACCAACAACAAAGAGCAAGCCTCCAATTCCTCGCACAAAGTTGAAGCGGAGTATCTCGATCGAGAATGCGATGACTGCAAGGGCGAAACAGATGACCAGGATCACAAAGCCAACGAGGTACGTGGCAGCTGCTGCTCTCCCCCATCCTTGAAGAGAAAAAAAGAAAGATGTTACATACAGCAGGGCACTGAACTGTAGGTCATTGCAGGTCTTTGGTTTCCTTTAATCATTTTTTGTTGAAATCCTTGACTGTAAGCAGCATGCCCTATGTCAAAACAATACTGGATGCCTCCAAAGTGCACAGCTGCAGGGCAGAGAAGCACCATTGTCGGTGGAGCAGCACAGAACTCCCTGCCCGCTAACGTGTCCCGCTGAAGAGAGGGATATAGTGCAGCATGGTAATGGAGATAACGCCTCCAAACTCTGTATCTGTAAGAGACCCACAGACATCTGAGCAGATAAGGCATACAACTGCTGAGAATGTACTTTATCATTACTGTTCCTGTTCGACGTGCAAGTTTACAAAACCACTTACATACATGAGGAAGTATGAGAGCAGACAAGAGGGTACCACCACAGGAGATAACTGCTGGGAAATAATAGCCCTGTCAGCATACAGCTTCTTGCCTGTTTGTTTATGACAAGAATAATGCATGTGGAGCAAAATTAGCATGACCAAAAAGAAATAGATTTAGAATAGCTGAAGTGAGAGACAACAAAGAAAAAGCTCTTGAAGATAAATATCTATTCACAGCTGAAAAAATTTAGAAACAGCTAAAATGTAGCAGGTGGAGGAGAAAAAGCAGAATCTGAGCTAAAGTGGAAGAGTCCTCTTTGAATCATTACTTTGACATTTGATTGGATGGGATGGTGCAGATTCTTAGGATCAAGCAACTGCAGGCTGGAGAGGCTCAGGCACGAAGCAAGTGGCCTCATCCCAGCAGAGCAGCACCCACGCCCAGAACTCACCCACCACAGGCCAGGGCCGGGGCAACAAAGGTAAGAAAACCTCCCAGAAAAACAGCCAGCAATTCCCCTTCCGCAGTAACATGGGCTTGTGAAGAGGCCCTCATTATGGCCAGACCCTGTCATCTTTAGGAAACCAAGCAGGAGTTCAGGTGAGCCCAATGCAAACAACAACAAGCAAAGGTGTTCCTGCCCTGGAGGCAGGACACCTGCCCACATGGGCTAAACCATACCAGCTAGTGCTTTGTTTTCCAGTCAGCTGTCATCACAGCTCACTTTCCATGTCTGCATAACGTGGGGTTCTACTTTCATGCATTCAGACAGAGGTAGGGCCAGATCCCAAGCTCCCTCTAATGTAGGAATAAAAAGAGCGGTGGGATCTAGGTCAGAACATTTTCCAAAAAAATCTCTTTCATCAGAGCTGTCTGTTCCAACACAGCTGAAGCGACTCTGGAGACACCCTGCTTTCAACGTAGCCTCCGTTCTTTCTGTGCAAAACTAAGAGGAAAAAGATGGTGAGACGGAGAACCTTTTCCGAAAGTTAAAATCCTTCAGCTTAACTCACATCCTCTACTAGTTGCATAAATGGGGAAAAACTAGTAATTTGAGACAGAGAATGTAGTGAAACTATCTCAGACACCTCTACTATGTACATCAATTTACTCTCTGAAAGCAAAGCATTGTTTTACAGCTATTTTCATTAGATCAGCCTGAACTGGTTTCTTTCCCCCCTATTCCAATAGCAAAAGTGAAATACAGCAGCCATCCGTCAGCCAGATCTCAGCCCAAAACCCCCAACCACCACCACCACCTGAAGACAGTCATGCTGGCATAGAAAGGGTAAGGAAAAGGGTCTTCTTTCCCCTCTCCCTTCTTGGAGCTACTCAAGACAGCAAAAGCTTTTCAAACTAGTTCTCCTTCAGCCAGCTGTGCGTGTTTCATACCCCTTCACTATGAGAGTGCTGCGGGGCCAGGAGGGAGGGAGGACACCTGATGAGCATCTGGAGATTAAAGCTACATCAGTGGTCCGATAAAATCTTTTCATACAAAATATTCTCTGACATACCTAATGCAGGTACTGGGTATTGTCTCCACAATCGGATTTATTTAGGGATAACTAATATAAAGGGATATTTAACCATTACACACAGCCAGCCCAGGAAAAGTGATTCAGGCTAAATGTCCTAGGAATGCTATTTATCGGTATTTGCCCTATTAAGAAAAAAAGCACAACACCAAGAAGGAACACTTAGTTATCAAAGTACATTCCCTTTCAGATGCATTACATATGCTGGCACAGTGTAGGAAGCCAAGTCTGGCATCTGCCTGATAAACTTTAGGTTGCAAACTCAAATACACCTGCAGGTTAGACAGCTTGAGGTTTGGTGCAACACAAACATGACTGGA